AGACAGAGGATATTGGAACATGTGGTAAAAGAGGACAGAAAGATAAATGGAGATGAAGTGGTTAAATTTTGGAACAGGAAGTTAATAATAGATGAGGTAGTGCTGATATGGGACGAAGAAAAATAAGAAATGGTAAAAAAAGGGAAAATGACATTTTGTTGGAAATAAGGGGGTAGATGGGGGATAATTAAGGGAAATTGAATAGAAATAAGAATGTAAAGTGTAACTTAACAGAAGGAATATTTGTAAGTAGATTATGAAATTACATAATTGTAAAATAACCAGTTTGGTTTAATAAAGTTAATATATATACAAAAGCTTTCGCGAGTAGGTTGTTCATAGCAATTAAATCATTTGTTATTAATGGTTATTCAATATAGTCTATTTTTGAATATTTAATCAGCGCGTAGGGCTTGACTGGAACACTGTCGAGAACTGAAACTGAAATCAGCGAGCATGTTTTTCTACTGAATATAACATTTTTTTTATCTTTCGTCTTACTGCTGCTTTGTAGCTATTTTGAGTACATTAATATTAATTGATAGATTGAGACCTTTGAAATGTATCAAATTTTAGGACAAAGTTGTTAGGGCTCAGACATTTCAAAATTGCTTTTAAATGGGTCATCATAATGGAAGAATATGAAGCGACGAAAAAAAAACTATATATAACAAAAAGGAATTGCACTTATAATTTCAGGTTTCTCTCCATTTTTTATCTATACAAGTTAGGCAAAACCATCACCGAGCATGGAAATTACACATGTCTTTGTCCGCATTTACTCTTTTTATGTACTAGTGTAGATTATTGTTATTTTCTGCTCTTGTTTTGTACGTTTCCCAAGTTGTTATTTATTTTAAACGTTTTGTGAGTCTTACAGAATCCGATAGATTCTAAAACATTTTATATTAAATACTTATCGATATAAAGAGTTACAACTAGTTCAACTTTCAGTCGAGTCGAAGTTTCGCTGAAGCATTATTGGAAAAAGCCAACAACACGCTATCTACATATATTGATTACTTACTGTAAAGTTTTTATTCTGTATTTGCCTTCGTTTCTTTGACAACACCGATCTTTCGGTAAATTATATAAATTCTAAAAGGTCAGAAAAACTCAAATCTCCCAAAAACGGCTATGTAAACCCAGTGAAAATAGGTACCTAATGAGGAAAATATTAATCTGAGGAAGTTTGGAGTGGATAAAAAATCGAAAAATGATTTCAAATTAATATTGCATACTATTAGCAATTAATAATGTCATAGAGTTTCACATATTTACCTAATGACAAAGAAGAACTATCATAATGCATTACAAAAGCCAAAAGTTTTCTACCCGTTTACATTAATCCATTTAATAATAGTTTCATATTCCCCAAAACACAATAAAAGTTTATTATTAATTTTCATTATATTCTTGATCAAACATTGTGCTACCAACTAAGCACCTGTACGAATTTTTTCAGATGAAAAACCACTTTATAAGACAAAACTCCAACGTCTCGCCCGTTGATTGAAATTGACGAGACAAAAAATTAATTACAAAATCATCTCATAATAACAATAATTAAATTTAAAACGTAGTCCTAACAAGTCGCTTAAAAAGTATAAAATTATTGCGAAAACTTCTGAAATAGTTTCAGTAGACCTTTAATTTTCAGCTCCAAGAGCCGGGACTTAACTTCACAAAAGTAAGTTCTAAGGTCTTTTAATTTGTAATTATAATGTAATTAACTTGCGTAGTTAGGAAATTTCGTTTTTACGATGTCAGAAAATCAATGATAAAGTATGCGGCACGGCAGGTACCTTGCCCTTAGAGAAAAAACTTACGTTAAGTTAAACAATTCTCGGAGCTTTCTTTTATTAATTCCACGTGAACTTAAAATTGAATAAAGAAACATAGTATAATTAAATTATTTTGAATGTTTTTGCAAAAGCTTATTTTTGAATTTAAAATTCAATTTTATAGTTAATTCTTGTCTATACTGTAGCGAGCACGACTGTATTTGTGTGCGATCGGGCACACGTGTGCGTGAACGGCTTATCGATTCGTCGATTAGCCGCGGGCGCCTTTCTTCATGTGCGCCGTATTTGTAAATGTGTGTGTCGTACCTGCGTTCTCGGAAAGCAGTTACAGTTCAAAGAAAAAAGAAACTATCCGGATGTTTCGAGAAGGCAGCCGAAAGTAAACAAAAGAGTATTTAAAGGAAGAGACGATCGCCAAGAAAAGAAGAAATAAATTGACCGTTGCAGAAGTGAATCGGGAAATAAATTGACAGTGGTAGCAGTGAAATAAATAGCGCAGTNAAAGAGTTACAACTAGTTCAACTTTCAGTCGAGTCGAAGTTTCGCTGAAGCATTATTGGAAAAAGCCAACAACACGCTATCTACATATATTGATTACTTACTGTAAAGTTTTTATTCTGTATTTGCCTTCGTTTCTTTGACAACACCGATCTTTCGGTAAATTATATAAATTCTAAAAGGTCAGAAAAACTCAAATCTCCCAAAAACGGCTATGTAAACCCAGTGAAAATAGGTACCTAATGAGGAAAATATTAATCTGAGGAAGTTTGGAGTGGATAAAAAATCGAAAAATGATTTCAAATTAATATTGCATACTATTAGCAATTAATAATGTCATAGAGTTTCACATATTTACCTAATGACAAAGAAGAACTATCATAATGCATTACAAAAGCCAAAAGTTTTCTACCCGTTTACATTAATCCATTTAATAATAGTTTCATATTCCCCAAAACACAATAAAAGTTTATTATTAATTTTCATTATATTCTTGATCAAACATTGTGCTACCAACTAAGCACCTGTACGAATTTTTTCAGATGAAAAACCACTTTATAAGACAAAACTCCAACGTCTCGCCCGTTGATTGAAATTGACGAGACAAAAAATTAATTACAAAATCATCTCATAATAACAATAATTAAATTTAAAACGTAGTCCTAACAAGTTCTGAAGAATCAATTGTTGAGATTACCTACGTTCTAAATTTTATTAATTACTGTTACATGGACAATACGATCTTGTACTTTATGTCTTCCACTGCCATATTGAATATTTTGGGAGAAAACTTTATTTTAGGATTTAGGTTTCTATTAATACGTTTCATTAAATGTTTTTAAAGCAATTGATCAGTATGATCGAAATTGGCAAACAGAGGACTCATTTTGCACAACGTTTTGATTAATTTAACCAGATGGAGTATGAATATTGAGAAACGCTAAATAAAATTCCCTTTGATTCTAAGCACAATTTGTCCTGAAAATTTAATCTAAAACACTAAATAAATAAACCTTCCTTTAATTCAGAGGACTCATTTTCCACAACGTTTTGATTAATTTAACCAGATGGAGTATGAATATTTTTAATAGATGTGTCAGCTGTTGAAGGCAGGATTTTTTCTTTAGGCGAGTCTCGTTTTAATAATTGGAAGAATATATGCTCTGCCTACTGAATATGTAGCAAAGCAGAAAGTATGCAGGACAAATAAAAATGCTTAAAAAGTTTTTAACTGTTCGATTACATAAACAAATTAATTAGAGTATTCTCGAACCGTTAAATATGTGAAACGCCCAAATCAGTGTAATATTTCGCCTGTTAATTAAACCTTCAATAACAGCTAAGAGTTCTTTTTTGTTTACATCTATCTCTAAAACGTACATATTTTCGTTAATAATTTTTTTCGTTGTTTATTACCCCCAATTTTTTAAAAGAAGACCAAATAGAAATATTTATTTATGGATTGAATGCACGTATAATTATTTTTTATTTAGTACAACCGTAGGGATAGATATACAGGGGCAAGAAATTAGTATGCTTGGATTTGCAGATGATATAGTAGTATTAGAATCTAGCAAGGAGGGGTTAGATATAGCTTTAAATAAAATGGAAGCGGTATTGACAAAACAGTATTGTATGTGAATAAATAAAAGTAAAACAAAAGTGCTGGTATGCAAGGGAAGAAAAACTACGGAAAGAGCGAATGTAAAGATAGGAGACGAAAAATTAGAAGAAGTGACCTATTTTAGGTATCTAGGAAGTCAGATAAGTCAGGACGGAGGGAGTAGTAGGGATATAAAGGAGAGGATAGCGCAAGGTCGAGTCGCCTTCAATAAGAAGAAGTCACTTCTATGTTTGCAAACGGTTAATTTAGAAATTCGAAGAAGATTGTTAAAGGTGTATGTTTCGAGCTGTACGGGTGCGAAGCATGGACAGTAAGCGCGGCGAAAAAGAAAAAGTTAGAAGCGTTCGAAATGTGGTGTTATAGGCAAATGATGAGAATATCATGGATGGAGAAGGTTGGAAATGAAGAGGTATTAGAAAGAGTAAGAGAACAGAGGACTCTATGGAAGTCAATAAGAAATAGGCGAGATAGGTTGGTAGGACACCTTCTCAGGCACGAAGGGCTAGTCAGAGACGTGTTGGAGGCAGAAACAGGAGTTAAGAGGAGTAGTGGTAGACCTAGATTAGATTACAGTTCGCAAATAGGGATGTTCTAGCTTTAGGGAAATACGAAGATTAGCACAAGATAGAAAAGAGTGGAGGTGCGTGTCCAACCAATCTTAGGACTGACGACTTTATGATGATGATACTGCTAAAAAATAAAGCTATTCATCAAAATCAATAAGTTGCTGATTCTTTATAACTGCATTCACATAAGTAGTTATCACCAACGTTATATTAAATGTCATGGTCAATCAATCCGGAAAATTTCTTGCAATACTGAAGACGCCAGCGGTAAATTACTACATTCAATTAATTAACAAATTGGCATGTACGTGTGGAATCGTTTCCAAGTAGTATACATAGCATACTAATTAACAAGGAAACTGTTGCTATTTCTATCGACGAAAACCAAAATGGACTACATTACACTACTTCCGCCACACCATATGACCAATTCAGTAAATCGTAGCTTAACTGCACATTATTACTAAACGTTTTTGTTTTTATGAGGTATATGTATATTAGGATTACCTTTGTCGCAACGATCCCCTCCTTTACCCAAAGGACATAAGCAAGTGGGTTGGAAATAGGGTTCTTTTAAAACGCACCCTCCCCCTGGTCCGCAATCCAAGTAGCATGTGTGCTCGGTTGTAGTGCTGCTACTTGGCGTCGGCATTGTCGTTTCGAAGTCGGTTGTTAGCGAGTCGACGACACTTGTGGAGTTCAACGTGAAATTCGAATAGAGGGTTCCATTAGCAACACTTAGTCCGATATCGACTTCTGCGCCTTTCTGGTAAAGAACGTTTCCCAACTTGTTATCGTTGATGTCACTCTCCGACGGAGAAATTGTTGAATTCAGTTCTAAAAATAAAAGTAGGAAACAATTTAAAATGGAATCTCTACATGTCTCAAGATGTGGGCAAGAACCTTACCCCTATTAGGATATCTATTTGGCAAACTAATTCTAACTACATAAACCTTCAGTTCTTGAAGAAGGTAACCTTGTTACCGAAAAGTGCTTCGGACAACTACAGTGTCGTGTTTTGACGTTGGGGTTTTGAGCTATTCTGTTTGTTCTTCAAATTACATGTAACTGATATTGTATCAAATATATTTAAATACGTTCGAATCAAATAGAATTATTCAATTTCCGAACTTTTTACAACTGTAATGATATTCAGAAGTATTTCTAACTGGAAATATATCCTTATGTACAGGTAATCTCTGCTGACGACCTTACGAAAGTATTTTCTTAAATTTACCATACAACATGCTTGCTCAACGCTTTTTGGATTGGTTAGTTCATCATTATCACCATCATAAGGTCGTCAGTCAAAGACTGGTTAAACACGCACCTCCACTCTTTCCTATCCTGAGCTAATCTTCGCTTGTTCATAAAACTAGAACATCCTTAACTATTTGCGAACAGTAATCTAATCTAGGTCTACCACTACTCCTCTTAACTTCTGTTTCAGCGTCTAATATGCCTCTAACTAGACCTTCATGCCTCAGAAGGTATCCTATCAACCTATTTCGCCTATTTTTGACATGACAACGTCTTATAATTCGATGGAGCCGGCTGCATGCACGAAAAAACATGACTCGTGCGGCGTTACCTCGCTCTGAGGCGTTCCATTTAAGGCTTGAAGTGCAAACGAGAGCGCGGAACGAGCGACAAAGAGGCACAATCGGCCTCCGCGTTCGGCAGCGTTCGACATCTGTCTCTCTCCTACTTAAGTGAGCGATGCGTCCGCGTGGACAGCTGCTATACAATAATACATTTCCATTTACCTCCTTCTCTATATCCATACAAAATATCTATCAAACAAATAAAATTAAAAAATGAAACCATTCCATCAGTATTTTCTTATGACTTTGTCACGTTCAACTTTCGTCAGTAAACCGACTTTACAGACAACTGATTTTTTTTATTCACTTCTATAGAGTCCTCTGTTCTCCTATTCTTTTAAATACCTCTTCATTTCTAACCTTCTCTATTCTCTCTACTACTCTTTGCGTCCTGACTTATCTAAGTTCTTAGATATCTAAAATCGGCCACTTCCTCTAATTTTTCGCTCTTTCCCTGCCTTTTCTTCACTTGCATACCAATATTGTTGTTTTACTTTTTCTTATTTTCACACAATACTGTTTTGCCAATACCGCTTCCATTTTATTTAATGCTATTTCTAACTCCTTGCTAGATGCTAATACTGCTATATCATCTGCAAATCTAAGCATACTAATATTTTGCTCCTGTATATCTGTCCCTACAGTTATACTGTCTTTAATGATATTGATTGCGTATTCGATGTATGGTTAATTATCTGTTGAAATTACTTTTGGCGAGCTGATGAGTACTAATACGTTCACAATTACGATAAACAACGTGGTTCTGATAACAAATTGCAGACCAGCAACTTAACGTTTTTTATATGTCTATATCTGTTGGTTTATAGAGACGTAGGTATTCCAGGATTTATCGGCAACATGTTGTTTATTCCGTCGCTTCATTATCAATCACATACCTGTGGGATTTTCTGAGGCAGGTTCTCCCAGTACGGATTGATGATCTCAAGCGTTTTTTTTTTGTTGGATGTCACGCGTGATCGGACGCAACAGTTAACTTGATACGGAAAAAAGTTACAATCTTCTTTGGAAGTCAAAAAATTGGTAAAAATAAGCAAATCCTTCCTTTTTTACTGTTCTTTGCCAAAATAGGGAAAACGGCACACTTGGGCCTCACTCTATTCCTAGTCAGATTATAATGAGCTTTGAATTGTGCTAATATGGGTACCATAGACATAATGATGCCCCCGCTCCATTGCCTATCCGTCTATCTTAAGATTTCACAGCCAAGGGTTAACAGAGTCTTGAAATGCATAATGATTCAGATTTAGATAAGCATGGATAACATCAAGTATCAATGAAGTAATACAAAAATGAATTTATGGGAAAATTTTGTTATGTGCCCATAATTTCTCCATTCTCACTTACAACAGAAAACTCTTAGACTTTCCTTTAATATATTAAGGTAATTTCAATTTTATTATCAATCTTAAAGGAATATTGAAACAAAACTATAAAATGGGTCATCCCTAAAATCCCTAAATGGAGGTTTTACATTGTAAAATATCTAGTTGTTTTTGGGAGACTTTGATGGCTGCGATAAGTCTAAATTGTTTTAGTTCACATTATAATTAAGTATTTAATTCCATCTCCTTGATTTCAGTTCACAACAACTTTGTATAATATAATATTAGATTAGATTACCGCCACAGGGTCCTATTTCTAGCGATTCATGCACCCGTGAGATCAACGATAAGATCCCCGCAGGGTCTACTGCATTATCAAATTTAATTAAACAAAGCAGTATCTACACTGTTATCAGTGGATATTTACCGTAACAACTATAGCCATCTTCGTGTAGTTGGAACCCTGAGTTGCAGTCACATTCGTACATTCCGTCGTGCAAGTCGTAGCACAATTGTTCGCATGGACTTCCCCTATCACATCTTCCTGAAAATAAGACATAAACTTTATTACTAAGGCTATTAATATAATCATTATTATAACACATTATTTTATTTCACTCATTCCGATATAGTATCAGATGAATTTTTTTATTCGACGAAGAATTGTCAAATAGTTAAAAGATGATATAGGATTAAAATGGTAAGAGCTTTCGTATAACAAAGTAGCCTAACTGCAGGACCTCTAAATTTCTTCCCTTCTATTTACATTTTCTTGAAGAACTTTCGTACGACGATACTAGAAGTTGTATAAATGCTGAAGTCGAAGTATTTGATGATTCTAAAGAGTCTGCGAGTTGCAGAAAGTGTACATTATTCGGACCACGTTTTTGCAAAACATATGTACGTAAGTCGACTTTACTTCTAAATAAATAACTTGAAATTTCTCGTAAGAGAAGTTAATGTTAATATATTTAAGGAAATTGACTAAATTCCATCAAACCTGGAAAAAGTTTTTAACGTAAAACAATACTAGCCTGTCACTTCAAACTAAAGTAACACATTTGTTAAACATATGAAAACCAATAAAGATAAAATATCCCAATCAAATCTGGCGTATACAATCTAGAATGTGTGACACTTTCACATTGGACCAACAGGAAAGTTGTTTAAAAACTGCATTAAAGAACACCAAAGTCATTGAAATAAATAAAACATAATGTTAGTTAATATGTAAAACAATTGATTGATAGTACATTTATGTATACAGATATATATACAGTTCAATCATGTTTTGTTATATTTACTTGGCGGCATCAACAGGCAAAGTTTGAGTATTTTTTAGCGTACATCCTTTTCTTAGGATTGTCAGTTCACAGATTGATTGAACCTGCACCTCCAAAATGAAGGAATTTCTTTCTTGGTTTCTTTTCTCCTATTTTTTCCAAAATGTCCTTATTTCAAACTTTTTCTACTCACGGCTTTTGTTTATCGTTCGGCTGTAACACCGCATCTTAAACGTAAACTTTTCTTTTCCGACGGGTCTTTTGCCCAAACATTCATTTTTATCAATGTTTTTCAAATTAATATCCATTCGCGAGCACACACTCTGCAATTTTTTGTTTCTTCGGTACCACTTAGTTACTTTCAAATTTCATTAGGAAATTTTGTTGAAATAATTAAGTACTTAAATTTATCAATTGTTTTGATTTTAAAAACTTACTACTTTTATGTTTTACTAAACATTTACTAATAAAACGCTCTTGCTTTTTTTTTTAAACTATAGATTGTGTCATCATTAAATATTTAATCTTTTTAATAAATAAATTTAAGATTTACGAGACAGCATCTTGCCACTTAGGCTTCTACTTTATTTGCTCTTCCTGTAGTCTTTATTTCGTGTTTCTTTAAGGCAGTAGAGTCCTTTTCAACTGTTTAAAATACCGCTCAACAACCCCTTTTGTAATGCCTCATAAATCCGACATAAAGTAGGTAATCTGTGTCCTCTTAAAGTTGTAGTGAAGTTTCAGTTGTGAAAAATTCATGATAGAACTACTGATCGCGTTGCCAAACTGGATGCAATACCTCAAAGCATTTTTCAGTTCGCTGAAGGAGGCAATAGGTGCATCTACATATGCACGACAGAACTGCTTTACCGATAAAAACGGTGACAGCATTTTGAATGTAAATTTATGACACAAAGCCTGCAATATTGGCACTTTGTTCTTAAAGTTTTCTATCTATTTGTTTATGAAGTAGTCTCGCATTTTTACAATAAAGTCGTTATGTTTAATGTAAGAGTCAAACGATGAAAGCCAAATTACAGCGTAATCTAGTTGTTATGTTTATGAGAACGTTTTTAAATATCCATTGTATATCAAACATAATGTTTTATTAAAAGTATTCGGTCATATATGCAACCAACTACACCCCACATTTAGACCTGTACACTTTTTCGTCAATTGTTCTCTTCCACCTTAAATACGTGAAAATTGATGGTTTTTAATTAAATCTTCTTATAAAACGATAGAATAATGGATGTCGAATGTAGGCTTTAACAATTCTTTTAATAGGAAAAAAGACAATGATACTGAAATAGTTTGCTTAGCGTGAAAGATCAAAGCCAAAACAGGGTTAGGAACAATTTTATTGATGTAAAATCAATGTCAATCATTTTACATCAAAATATTTACAACCCCATTTTGTTTCCGATCTTTTACACATTTAATAAGAGAAAGAAATGGAATCCACAGTTTCTTTAGCTTTAGGATCGTCTAATAATTGAAGTTTTTCGAATCGTTTTTTTAAGAATTTTGGATTACACGCATTTATTAGCACACCACAATATCTTGTAGTTTTCAGTTTTACACAGGTAGCGTATATAAATTCGATATTGTTTAGGGGGATGTTTTGTCGTCATTCATGGAACTTCGTAGTTCGTTACTAGAGATAAAGATAAGTAGTGATTTGGCAGGTGATATCAATTTGCAACTTCAAAGTTGCATGGACTATAACATTGAACCCGGAAAACAATATCGATCCAATATTTTAAATTATCCATTTCCAAGGAGTTTAGAATTTTTTGAGCTCTCTTCAGTTAAAGAATTAGAAGGCATTCTCGGAATGCCTCTTTGTCCTCTTTGAAGGTTCCAATACATTCAATGGCCAATGTGAACAACTTTTATTCATTTTATATAATGTTTGGTCGGTGATACCAGCAAAACTTTTAGCGCAAAAAATGTATTTTGCACTTTACAAATAGAAAAGTATTTCAAATAAAATACAAAATGTTTTTCTCAAAAAAGTATTTAAATGCAAGATAAAAATAGGTATTTTTTATTTTGTATTTGCATTCTAAATGCAAGTATTTCAATTAAATCAAATCACTACGAATCAGGACAGCAATAAAAAAAGCTGCTCAATTTGCTGAATTCGCTTCTGAATAATTTATATGATTTTATTTTCGTTTCCACTCTACCAAGATGTGTGAAAACAATCCACCCTGTATAGGTATAACAGTACTGCTCGTAACAAGTTAGCAAATAAAAAAAAGCACTTTTTATACTTCATTCACACTATTGCCGTGTGGGCGTGATCACCTACACCACCTCGTTACCGGCACGTCCGAATCGTGAGGAAATGTTAATCTCCCTTCAACCACCTTGCTGATTGAAGGTTCAGACAGTTGGAATGGAGTCAGTTGAAGGGAGAAGTGTGGAAATTACTGTTCTGGCTTTTATCCTTGATTGCCCGAGAAAATCACGAAAAAACTTTAACCGAATTAGACGTCTTACAGGATTAAGATTGAAAGTCTTCCACGTGCGGGCGGATTATAATTATAGCTTTTTAGATTTGCGTACTCAACTAGAAATTAGTCATAGTCCCGGTCTTTATGTCTCTTCGTTGGTCCTTCTGTATGCATGTCGCAATTCTTCCATCCTATCATTTATATTGGGTAAAGTGGAGGCAAATGAACCATAGTTTGCAAGACAGTGTTTATTCATAAAATCTGCAGTAAATACAGAAGGTTAATAAACTTAAGCTTCAGTATTATTTTGGTATACTGTAAAACACAAAAGCACATAAGTCATACTGTCATCATCATCACCAAAAGGTCTTCAGTCCGAAGTGTGGTTGGGCACGCATCTGTCTTGGGCTAGTCTAAATCAACCTATGTCACTAACTATTCTCTAACACCAATCTAGTACCTAACATACCTCTAGCTGAGCCGTCATGTCCTATCTGGCTTATTTCTTATTAACTTCCATATTAGCTTCATATGTTCTCCTAGTCCTTCTCATTTCTAACCTTCTCTATCCATGGTATCCTCATCTTCGCCTGTAACACCACATTTTGAACGCATTTCGCACCCGTACAGCGCCGCGCTCCAAACATACACCTTTAACAACCTTTTTCGAATTTCTAAATTAATCGATCGCGAGCATAGAAGTGACTTCTTGTTATTGAAGGCGATTCGACCGTGCGCTACTCCTTCCGTCCTGACTTATCTGATTTCCTATATACCTAATATCAGCTACTTCTAATTTTTTGTCTCCTATCTTTATATTTACTCATTCCCTACTTTTTCTTCCTTTGCCGGAACTTACCCCAAAGAAATTTAATTTGAGGTCCAAATACTCTAAAAACCTACCTAATCTCCAATTAAATGTGATAAAGAAAACAATGCTCTACTAACTTCCTCCTGGAAGTATCTTATTTTATAGTTTGTAATTATTATATGCAGAAAATCAGTACTTTTTCAATAAAACTACAGATGCTAATCGATTAAAGCGTTATAATAATACCAACAGTAAATTTTCCGACATGTCCTGTACTAAATAACGGTAAGTTAGTAATCTATTTCCACTTGGCAATTTTATTTCCTGACAAAGAAAAGCAAGAAAAGCTCAGAAGATAAAGGAAAAGAATTGCCGGATTTCGGGGTTGGAGGTGCGGTTACCGCTAGTAAAATTGCTCCATGTTCTACGCGGCTGCATTGATTAACATTCCCAGCTTTACCCTTCGAATACAAATCTGTTAAATTAAAAAGTCGGTGTTTGTACCTCTAAATATATTATCAATTAGTACTGACTCAATTTATGAATTAAAATTACGCAAAAAAGAACTTCTTCAATAAATAGGCCATCAATTTTTTGGATGTTAAGATTATTAAAACGATTGTAGAATTATAATAAATAGAAAAACATGTTATGGGATTTATGTACACTAAAAAAATACAACGTGTAATTATACAACACGCTACTGAAGTGAAACTTCTTCAAACACACAAACATACGGGGAAAGGGGTTAAGGAATTGGTTTAATGGTATTATTTGTACACTATGACCTTAAATTTTACACTATACATGCCGAAGTTGTCTGTAACGAACGTTGCATTGAAGCGCGCTCACGGCTCAAGCGATCCCCACTGGGAACTCGACTACGTGGCCGAGTAGAAGGGAGACATCCGTTGCATGATTTCGTTACATAGCAACTCGCATGAAACGAACTTACCCTACCGTACGTAAAGAAATTTCACTTCAAAAA